ACTCTGCACCTCCCTGGAAAGATCATCCCCATCCAACGAATCCCAGCGGGTTTGCTCTGGGTCCTGAGCTGCCCTAGCCTGGGGAGCCAGGGTAGGCCTGGGCAAGGCCTGATCTCCACTGGGATCCACCTGCATGCAGGAATCCTCCAAATCTAAGTCATGGTCTTTCAGGGAAAGAGGTGGCAAAGGGGAAGCCTCCCAAAAAAACCTCCCAAGAGAGTCTGGAGAACCCGGGGGCTGTGGGGCGCCCCCAAGGGAGACCTGGAATGAGGAGAGGCACTTAGTCTGCCCTGTTGGGCCCTTAACTTTTCTGCCCTGAAAAAGGTCTCAGAAAGGGCCTTGTGCCTCCTAAGCTCATCCCTCTGTGTGGCACATGAGGAACAAGAGGCAGCAACCACCTTTTGAGATGTAGCTGAGGCTGTGGGACGCTGCCTGGAAGAGGGGCCCTCCCCAGGGGAGGGTGGAGGAGAAGGGGACCTTCACGCCTCCTCCGCCATTTGCCACATGGCAATACGGCCCTCCAAGCGAAGCTTTCTCAATGCTCTCTCTCTCTCCCTCTCCCTCTCTCTCTCTCTCTCTGCTCCATTCTTCGGCTGCAACAAGGCGAAGAAAGGGGAAAGAGTAAAAAGAACGCCATCTTTTTACTTCCCAGGCAGCTCCAATGCCAGCGCCAAGCTCGGCGGGCTTCAGGGACTGCCGCCGAGGCTTCTGCTGGCTGGAGGACCCATGCGCCGATTCTCCACTCTGCGGCTCACCTTGCTGCCTCACAATGCCTTCGCGCTCTTCCCAATGCCGCTGCGGCTCTATTCCAGCTGCCAGAGTGATCACAAGCAATGTTTAGCGACGAGAGGTCGTGGTCTGGAAATCCTGAGCCCGCAAGCCTCCCGATCGCTCAGGGATGAAAGTTGCAGCCACATGGCTGGCGTGGCTCCAAACAGCTGCTGCAATGGCGCCTGAGCCTTCCCAGCCCTCGGAAGGCAAAGAACTGTCCCTGGAGGCCAGTAAAGGAAAGCCCCAGCCAGGCAACTTACTGGCAGAAGAAGAGAGCAATTCCAAAGGGAGGCTGCAATTGCCAGGAGGGTCCAGTGATGGTAGAAATGCAGGAGAGAAAAATAATAGGTCTCACTTTTTGGCCTGACTGAGATGAAATGGGACATAAAGGGTGGAGCACAGAGGCGTGGCTTCAGCTTCATCCCAGTCTCATGGCCAATTGGGCATGTTAATACCATCCATTGGAGCCTCCTGTCCCTTGCTCCAGAAAACAACTACTTCTGAGATCCTTGGCACATATCGAAGACTTGGTAAAATTAGCTTCTCAGCTGCCCACAGAACACTTAGAAGAAGCAAGAGAGGTCCAGAGCATTCCCAATCTAAGGTCAAATGCCTAAATGATCTTGTTTCTCCTGAGAAGGACAAAATCAGTCCATCTTTTTCCCAATTGTGGTCGTAAGTTGGGGGGATTACCTTTATAGGTAAAAGTGAACAGTTTCAGAAAAAGTCAGTGTAACTTTTGCCACCCAAGAAATAGGGGGGGGGGGGAGACAAAACTAAATCATAGATAAATCATAATTTCAAATTTTATACAAAACAAAATTTCTATATTATTTGCACAGAAAATGGAAGTAGCCACTAAATTAAATAGCAATTTCTTTGATTACTAGAGAATAAAGTACAAATATCTTAAGACTGCATATATATATAGTATATAGATTTTAATGCTGCAAATTGTGCTATATAAAAATCTTCTTTTGGTTGTATTTACCAAAATGGAAGACCAGTTTTTTTCCCCTCAAATAATTTAATTTTAAAGAGAAAGGGTGTCCTAGATTTATTGAGTATATGCTAATTAGAGTCAAGGGGTGTGTTTGTGTGTTCTGCTTAATTCTCCTTCAGAATAAGTAAAACATTGTCTTCAAAAACATGTTACTTTTTCCAAGGAAAAAAATATTTAACTGAAGTCATTTTCAACTACTGTAAGCACTTCCAAATGTTCAATTGGAGAAAAATTGATAGGTAGTCTTTGTTTAATAATCACTAATTCAGTGACCATTTGAGGTTCCAATGGTATTAAATGAGAGGATGTATGACCAGTCCTTATATTGGCCATCACAGCAACCCTATGGTCATGTGATTGCGATTTCAGTGCTTGGCAACTACTGTTAGTTCACAATTATATTGACTGCAGTATCTTGTAGTCATGTGATGGTCATTGGTAACCTTCAGTCCAGTTTCTGGCAAGCAAAGTCAATGGGGAAGCTGGCAGGAGGTCACCTATAATTATCATGTGACATTGTGGCTAATAAGCACTCGGGGTTCACTTAACAACAACCACTGGAACTGCTGCAACTGCCATTGTACCTTAGTGCAGTCATGTGACTCATGCTCTACAACCACACCACTTAGCAGCAGAGTTGCCAGTCCCAATTACCATTGTAAATCAACCACCTGTATTGGAAATATCTTGGGATTTTTTTCAATACAGGGATTGGGAGGAAAGGAGGAAAAAAGCAGGTTTAAATATTTTTCTGGGGCTTTCTTAACCAGGTTTTCCCATCTCATAGTAATATTCTTTTCATGTTTATAACTACTTGTCATTTATTTTTCACTATTTCACGAGTCTCCAGGTATGAAGCAGAGACAAATGGGTTGTGCCTCCAAAGGTTCTGAACTACAACATCCATATTCTTACCACCCAGAATGACCACTAACAAAGAATTTCAATAGCTGAAATCCAAAACAATGGAAGAATGGATGTCAGGTTGCCCATAACTGATTAATTCAGGTTTGCCAATGCTGACAGCAGATAAAAATACGTTAAAACTAACTGATTCTGTGCCTTTCTTTTCAGAATAGTGAGCAAAAAAGTATTGTTCAATATATAATAAAAAGAGTATAAGAAGAGCGTAAAACAGGCACATAAAAATATATTAATATCGGACTACTCCTTCATGAAAACAAATCAACAAATGACAAAAACAAAACAAAACCCCACCCTGGACTGCAGAAGGCTCCAGTTCCAATAATATCCCTTTATTAGAAATTGTCTTTTAAAATGCCTAGAAGAAAAGATTCCATCAGATCAAAGAAAATAAACTGACAGCATACATATTGATTAGAAGCCTTCCACATGGATTTAAGGAGAATAAATTTCAGACCCATTCCTCACCTAATTCAGAATGGTGGCTTTGAAAGAAATCAGAAATACGCTAGATTTAAAATACATTTTGATTTCATCAGAGCTTCTGATCGTTCCACATGATTGTACCACAAGTACATTGGAGAAAAGTAATTAAAAATGTTATCATAAGATGGGCACACAGCTGGCTAAGAAGCTGTAGTGCCCAAGAGGGCTAATTAAAGGATCACTGTCAAGCTGGGAGGAAGTAAAAAGTAATGCTTCAGTTCACAGGGATCTGTCTTAGGTCCAATGCTGTTCAACATCTCCATTAATTACTCAGATAAAGATTTGGAGAATACTTATTAAAATTTCAGGAGACTCAGAAATTGGAAAAATTGCAGACACTGCAAGGATGATAATTCATAAACAGATCTGATAGATTAGAGCCCTGGGCTATGAATGACAAACTGAAACTAAAGCATGTTAAATACTGGACATTAAAAAGAAACTATAAATACGACATGAAGAAATAATGACAATATTTGAGTGTCCAAGAAAACAACTGGTTTTTTAAAATTATTTTGTATTCGTTTTAATCAGGGAAACTACATTTTCATAAATACATATAGAGAAAAAAAAATTAAAAGTATAGAAATCAACTGTAATATAACTAAAAAGATAACTGCTATACATATGAAAATTTGACATATATGTAAAATATGTTTTGCTATTGAAATAAATCATAAAATTCATCCAAGTTTGAAAAAATTGTGCTTTCTAAC